GTGATTCTCTTGCCTCGGCCTCCTGAGTAGCTGGAACTACAGGCGCCTGCCACAATGCCTGGCTATTTTTTTGTTGTTGCAGTTTGGCTACGGGTGGGCTCGAACCTGCCATTCTCGGTATATGGGACCAGCACCATTCAATATATATTAAATTTTTATTTATTTCTTGTTCCCAAGATGACACGTTTTTAAGACTTATAATAGTGAGAAAGTTTGCTATTGCCCAGCAGTTTGCTAATTTACGTATTTATACTAAGTATATGCTGATATATTATTGATTATTTTGAAACTGAATAGTCTTGAAATCACTTAGGTAAAAGTAACAGTATTTCTGGTGTTTTTATAGGGCTTAAGTAGTCTGCTAAAAGTTGTAAGATTAATATGAGTCTTTTTATACAGGGTGAAAAGAAAGTAAAGACTACAGTACTAACAGCTGCACTTCTGTTATCTGGAATTCCTGCTGAAGTAATAAATCGATCAATGGATACCTATAGCAAAATGGGTGAAGTCTTCACGGATCTCTGTGTCTACTTTTTCACTTTTATTTTTTGTCATGAACTGCTTAATTATTGGGGCTCTGAAGTACCATGAAGTCTGCACAACTCAGAAACAGCAGCTTACAAAAAAAATTCTTTTCTATATTGCAGTGTCTCTAAAGGAGGCAAATTGGTTTACATCTTTTATAATACTTTTCATTTATAGGGCTTGTAAAACTCCTTTATTAGGAATGGAATGGCAGATTCCCTGATTTGAAAGGATTGAGTTTGTATTAGTACTGATATGAAGAATAGAGTACCAGTGTCATTCATTTTGATTTGCTTGTTTGATTAGAATCCCTATTCTATACCTTTCTCCTCACTTCTTAAATTTGTAATTCCTCATTTAAGGGCTGAGCTAGTACTTAAGAGAGCAGATAAACATAGTCTCAGCCAGCCCTAAGGACTGCTGCTTGTATATGTGTCACTCTGTCCTGAAAAATGAAGTCATCTTAAAAATAAAATGAAAGAAACTGAATTGTGTAACGTGAAATCTTGCATATTGTAACTTTTCTTGTTGAATTCGTACCTTAATTTTTTTTTTTTTTTTTTAATTAAGACAGAGTCTTACAGGCGCCAGCCCCATATACCAAGGATGGCAGGTTCAAACCTGGCCCCGGCCAAACAACAGTGATGGCTGCAACCAAAAAAAGAGCCAGGCATTGTGGCAGGTGCTTGTAGTCCCAGCTACTTGGGAGGCGGAGGCAGGAGAATCGCTTGAGCCCAGGAGTTGGAGGTTGGAGGTTGCCTTGATCTGTGATGCCACGACACTCTACCCAGGATGACAGCTTGAGGCTCTGTCTCCAAAAAAAAAAAAAAAAAAAATTGGCAAGCGCCTATAGACCCAGCTACTTGGGAGGCCGAGGCAAGAGAATCGCCTAAGCCCAAGAGCTGGAGACTGCTGTGAGTTGTGACGCCACGGCACTCTACTGAGGGCAACAAAATGAATCTCTGTCTCTTAAAAAAAAAAGACAGAGTCTCACTTTGTTGCCCTTGGTAGAGTGCTATGGTGTCACAGCTCACAGCAACCTCCAACTCTTGGGCTTAAGTGATTTACGACTACAGGCGCCTGCCACAACCCTTGGCTATTTTTTTGTTTGTTTGTTTTTAGCAGGCTGGATTTGAACCCACCAACTGGTGGGTGGTGCATATGGCCAGTGCCCTACCCACTGAGCAATGGGCACTGCCCAGTACCTTAATTTTTACTTTAGCAAAAAATATTTGTTGCTGAGCTAAGGAGTCTGTCCACTTGTCACCCAAGCCGGTCAACAGACAAGCAGATGAGGAATCAACAACTTCACTTTATTTATAGAAAAGCCAGCAATTCATGGAGAGCAGCAAGGATAACTCCTCAAAGAACTGCTCTGTTCTCCTGTTTCTCTCTTTTTTTTTAATATACTTCTATAACTTTTTGTTTTTATTTCAGAAAAGTAAGATTTAAATTGGGGTTTCATCATGATCTAAAGGAAATTTTCTTTTCAAAGGACATAATTAAAATTTATTAGAATATAGGCTCGGCGCCTGTGGCTCAAGTGGCTGGCGCCAGCCACATACACCTAAGGTGGCAGGTTCGAATCCCCAGCCCGGGCCCGCCAAACAACAATGACGGCTGCAACCAAAAAATGGCC